GATCTCATGAATCTGATTGCGTTTTAATTATATTTACAAATGTTTAAAGTTATGACAATACTCTTACCAAAAATGTCTTTCTACTGAAAATGATTCAGTAGAATGATTTGAAATAATGACAATGAATTTTAGTTGACAGTATTAAATTATCCATTGAAAGTTGCAATTGAACACAGGGTCATTGTCATTACATCTTCAGATGTTTCGAATTATAACCCAAACAACTATCTTTGTTTATTTAAAATTGCCATGTCATCAAACTGAAGAACAAAGTTGAGAGAATTCTAATGTTAGGAAATATGAATAAAATGAAGCTAATCATGTTAGCGTGTAAAGATTGAGTAACTTGGCTGGTAATTTTAAAGTGAAATTGATTTGTACAGATTTGGCCTTTAACCGAGAACCTCCCAAATCAGACACATGAATATCGATCAATAGCTTTAAAGAGTTCGCCACTCACCTCAAACATTTCCCAAATGCTCGACTCTTTTCTTTCTAGGGGAAGGGAGGAGGTGATTTATGCGTTAACATTTTATAAAATGCAGATGAATCATTCTGCTGTAGTTTCAACCCCACAGCTACAATTGCCTGTACAGAAGTGTGTAAAATGACAAAACTGTTCCTCAACCTTGAGAGTCTAATTTTCAGCCTTTTTTGACCAAGCCTATTGGGTAAAGATAAGAGTCTGGAGATTGACGAAGGCACTTGACAACAGAGCGTGTTATAGTCCCCTGCTATATTTGACGCAATGTGAATACTTTGTACGCTTAGAAATGGCATGTTTCTTTTGATCTGGCGTAATGGTTGGTGCCTGATGACATTTTTTAAGTGCACATCTTGGCTCGAAGCCTAGTTGGCTAATTATAGAAATCTAAGCTAATGATTTGTTATCACCAGGCAATTAGTAGACGTAATCAGCTTTATTCAACTGAACTTGCTAACAACCAACTGAAGACCTGTTAGTTGAGTTACTTACTTGCCTACTTGCTTGTGCAGTTTTCGAGATTTTCCATTTCATTCTCTATCTTGCCAATATCCACTTTGAAGATGCTGACTGCATCGATTCTCATGTCCTATGTCTTTTGTTGTTTGAAAGAAAAAAATAGCAATTCTGTTTAAGCCCAAATTGACCTAATAATATGAGTTGTTAAGTTGTAAGGTGGGTTGAAAAATTGCAGTCTGAAGCGGATATGGAGAACAAGTGGAATAAAAGTTCTGTGTTTGAAATAAGCAGCGTCTGCATGTTGTGTCACGCACGTCGTCTTTGGTAGAAACGTGCGGTTTGGGAATAGTATGGTAGAGTCATAGATTCAGAGTGGTTGGGGGAGGGGGGGGGGGGGGGGGTGGGAAAGGACTTTTTCGTGACACCTTTGCCAGTAATTCCTTTGAAAAAAAATGGGTGAATACGGGCTCTCTTCGTGGTTAACAGGGTTGGTTGAGCATTTGATCCTCCGAGACTTTATTAAGTTTGTCACAACTATTTTGACTAAGCAGAGACCATGGTTGGAGACTTTTTTAACCAGAGAATTAAAACAGCGAAGTCCAAAGTGGCCAGATTGATTGCAATAGGTAGCTTCAAGAAGTTGAGGACAAAAGAGAACGCACCTAGAAAAGGCTGATGATGCAACTTCCAATAGTACCCTAGGGGTGGCCACGACCTACGAAAAGGTCTTCACTTAATCGAGTGAGGCTTGCTGATAAGCACTGATGCTTTTGCGGCATTTATTTTAAAAATAATCTACTTTATATAAATTATTTTCATTGGTGTTTATTTTGTCCCATATTTGTACAATACTGGTCCTATTTTTTCTCCCTCAGTTTCGAAGAATTAGCTGCTCGTAACTACGAATCTGTTCGAGTCAACTTCGCTCTGGCTATTCTTCATAC